CTGGGGTTCGTCTTGAAGTAGGGAGATGATAAACCCTACCTTAACCGACTCGGTCGTAAACGTGCGGGGTTGCAAGTCAAAGTATAGTAGGCATGCATTCCGGAACGCCTTGAACCGTGCACGGTCTCCCCGGAAACGTTCAGGCATGGGAACCCGGGGTTCTGTTGGAGGGGGTGCAGCCGCAGCCCCTGTGGTAAGTCTAGAAGTCTCCCCAGAGCTGACGGCCGGAGCCGGGCCCTGGGAAGGGGCGTCAGACATGGTCATAGTGTCAAAGCAGTTCTCCAAGCGAGTGCATTTATCCTGCAGTGCGGTAACCGCCTGGGTCAAGGCCGATAAATGCCTGCAAATATCCTCCAGAGGAGAAGGCCTCCCTCCAGACTCCGTCATGGCCGAATGGTACTGTAACGGACCACCCGACAGCACCTCTATCAGTCCCCTGATAGAGCCTCTCCAGCGTGCGGAGTCTAAGTTCCGGAGCACTTGTTCACCAGGGCCCCTGATGGTGGGGATGGACTTGGAGCGCTCCGGGACCAGGTCGCAGCTACCGGATATCTCTATCAGTGGTAGAGGAGTCTGCCGGAGGCTCCTGCAGGGTGAGAGTCTGATGTGAGGGGACCCGGGGATCCCTGAGGGATGGATGGATGGAGGAATGAGCAAGGGCAGAGTCAAACAAGCCGTGTCGGTAGCCGGGGGGTCGGTGCGGTACAAAACAGTAGGCAAAGAATGGTCGGGTCACACGCAGGGTCAATAACAGGAGATCAAATCTAAAGGGGAACATCCAGGAGCAGAGTCAGGCAAGCCAAGGGGTCAGGACAGGAGAAGATAGCTAGGTCAGATAATCCGGATCAAAGTACTCACAACACAGGTAACAGGATATGCAGAGAGACCATTCGGCAACAAGTGTCTGTGCAGGGCTGATTTAAGTAGCCCGCCCTGCACCTGACAGGTGCAGCCTAGGTCCTAATGCCTGCCCAGTACTGTCATAGACGACGGGTGCGCCTGGGTCCTAGTGCACTGCTGCTTGCATGTCTTGACAGACACCTACGCATGTGTAGACCCTGCAAAGTAATAAAAACAAAATAATGAAATGATAAAATGCAGAATGATAAAAAACGATAAAATGCAGAATGATAAAAAACGATAAAATGCAGAATGATAAAAAACGATGACGAGGAATATAGAATATTAGCGCCAAAGGTCACTTAATAGATACGGTGATATCATATATGTTATTTATTCATAATAGTTAATATTTATTCCTATAATGCCCGATAAAAGAATGTGCTAAAAGAACATATATGAAACAGAGTAGAACAAACATAGGTATATGTCCTCCTTATACTAACTGTTGTCCAAAAAACAATTTACAGTCAGGTCCATAAATATTGGGACATTGACACAATTCTAAAATTTTTGGCTCTATACACCACCACAATGGATTTGAAATGAAATTAACAAGATGTGCTTTAACTGCAGACTGTCAGCTTTAATTTGAGGGTGTTTACATCCAAATCAGGTGAACGATGTAGGAATTACAACAGTTTGCATATGTGCCTCCCACTTGTTAAGGGACCAAAAGTAATGGGACAGAATAATAATCATAAATCAAACGTTCACTTTTTAATACTTGGTTGCAAATCCTTTGCAGTCAATTACAGCCTGAAGTCTGGAACACATAGACATCACCAGACTCTGGGTTTCATCCCTGGTGATGCTCTGCCAGGCCTCTACTGCAACTGTCTTCAGTTCCTGCTTGTTCTTGGGGCATTTTTCCTTCAGTTTTGTCTTCAGCAAGTGAAATGCATGCTCAATCGGATTCAGGTCAGGTGATGGACTTGGCCATTGCATAACATTCCACTTCTTTCCCTTAAAAAACTCTTTGGTTGCTTTTGCAGTATGCTTTGGGCCATTGTCCATCTGCACTGTGAAGCGTCCAATGAGTTCTGAAGCATTTGGCTAAATATGAGCAGATAATATTGCCCGAAACACTTCAGAATTCATCCGGCTGCTTCTGTCAGCAGTCACATCATCAATAAATACAAGAGAACCAGTTCCATTGGCAGCCATACATGCCCACGCCATGACACTACCACCACCATGCTTCACTGATGAGGTGGTATGCTTAGGATCATGAGCAGTTCCTTTCCTTCTCCATACTCTTCTCTTCCCATCACTCTGGTACAAGTTGATCTCGGGCTCATCTGTCCATAGGATGTTGTTCCAGAACTGTGAAGGCTTTTTTACATGTCGTTTGGCAAACTCTAATCTGGCCTTCCTGTTTTTGAGGCTCACCAATGGTTTCCATCTTGTGGTGAACCCTCTGTATTCACTCTGGTGAAGTCTTCTCTTGATTGGTGACTTTGACACACATACACCTACCTCCTGGAGAGTGTTCTTGATATGGCCAACTGTTGTAAAGGGTGTTTTCTTCACCAGGGAAAGAATTATTCGGTCATCCACCACAGTTGTTTTCCGTGGTCTTCGGGTCTTTTGGTGTTGCTGAGCTCACCGCTGCGTTCCTTCTTTTTAAGAATGTTCCAAACAGTTGTTTTGGCCACGCCTAATGTTTTTGCTATCTCTCTGATGGGTTGGTTTTGTTTTTTCAGCCTAATGATGGCTTGCTTCACTGATAGTGACAGCTCTTTGGATCTCATCTTGAGAGTTGACAGCAACAGATTCCAAATGCAAATAGCACACTTGAAATGAACTCTGGACCTTTTATCTGCTCATTATAATTGGGATAATGAGGGAATAACACACACCTGGCCATGGAACAGCTGAGAAGCCAATTGTCCCATTACTTTTGGTCCCTTAACAAGTGGAAGGCACATATGGAAACTGTTGTAATTCCTACACCGTTCACCTGATTTGGATGTAAATACCCTCAAATTAAAGCTGACAGTCTGTAGTTAAAGCACATCTTGTTAGTTTAATTTCAAATCCATTGTGGTGGTGTATAGAGCTAAAAATGTTAGAATTGTGTCGACGTCCCAATATTTATGGACCTGACTGTAGATCGAAATCTATATTCAATCCTCTGGGGTGTAAAGAACCTAATTCGTAGATCCATCTCGATTCGAGCTGTGACACTGCTCGCTTTTTATTTGTTCCTCGCCAGTGGGCATTAATAATACCTATGCCCATAAATCTGAGTGACGATGGGTCTTTATTATGATGGATCTTGTAGTGGTGTGACAAGGAATGGTCCTTATACCCCTTTTTAATATTATTGACATGCTCCTTTAGCCTGTCCCTAAGACGTCTGGTAGTGCGTCCAACATATTGAAGGTTGCACGGATATTGGAGCAAATACACCACGAATCTACTTGTACAAGTGATAAAATCTTCGATATCATAACGTTTACCCCTTGTTGTAGATATAAAATAATTGCTTTTATTAGTATGCTTACTGCATCGGCAGATGACGCATTTTTTACAGGGATGAAACTCTTTTAAGCTAGTAAACATAGTTATACTTTTGGGTGGATCCACTATATTAGGGGCGATTTTATATCTAAGTGATGTCGCTTTCCTAAAAATAATTTCCGGTTTCTCCGGCAATAATGTACTCAGTATGGGATCAGATTTCAAAATCTTCCAGTTATTGTTAATAATGCTGGTTATCTTTTTGTGTTGTATAGAATAATTAGTGATAAAAGGACATATCTGTTTTGGTTTTTGTTTAGAGATATTATTTAACATCAGATTTCTGTCAGATTTTCCTATGGTGTCAATGGTATGGTCAAGGGTAGAAACATCATACCCTTTTTCAACAAACTTATCTTTAATAATTACCGCTTGTTTATAATATGTGTCTACATTAGTGCAATTGCGCTTAATTCTAGAAAACTGCCCCTTTGGAATGTTACGTAACCAAACGGGGTGGTGGCAACTGTCTATTGAAATAAAACCGTTTCTGTCTGTTGGTTTAAAATAAGTTTCAGTCATTATTTTACCATTGTGGTTTATTAACACCAGATCTAGAAAGTTGACATTAACTTGACTATATTCAAACGTGAGCTTAATGTTTGAAGAGTTAAAATTCAAAGTGGTAAAAAAATTTAAAAGTGCTTCTTCACCGTTCCATATGAGGAGGATGTCATCTATGTATCTACGGTAAAAAGAGAGTTCAGGCCAATCTCTCGCATAGATGACATCCTCCTCCCACCTGGCCATAAACAGATTCGCCAGGCTGGGGGCAAATTTTGCCCCCATAGCCACGCCCTTTTTCTGCAAATAAAAGTTGTGGCCAAACCAAAAATAATTCCTCGTCATCGCAAAATCTAATAAAGTTAAAATGAAATCCCTATGCAAATCCGACATATAATTAAAATTGTTTAAAAAGAATTCCACAGCCTCCATCCCATCCGAATGCTTTATATTTGTGTACAAAGATGCCACATCTGCCGTGACAAGGAAAGTGCACTTGTTCGTGGCAATATTACTGATGTCTTGGAGCACTTGTTTTGTGTCCTTCAGATAGGCTGGGGTCTTTATGATAAGAGGTTGTAAAAAATGATCAATATATTCGCCTACTCGAGAACATAAAGACCCGAAAAAAAAAACCCCACCGCCAGTGCGTCCAGTAGCAGCAGCGTTTTGGTAGAAAAAACACTTGACGTGTCTAAATGCGTGTTAATGTTAGGTGGGTTTATCCCTTGAGCAATTATTCATTTTAATGGCCAGAATAAATTATTATTTTGGCCAATTAAGTGAATTAACACCCAAGCACCTGACACCTGTAAACGCATCAAAACATTAGTAAAAGTGTTAGACACGTTCACAAGCGTCAGGCGGTTTTTCTACCAAAAAGCTGCTGCTAAGAGTTGGAGCGGTTTTAAACCGTCCTGTGTGCATGAGACCTAAATAGACATGACCTGATCTTCTTATTCCGGCAGTGATCTGGGTCAGGGATGAGACTTGTATGTATCCATTATATACATTATGCTGTGTGATGTGTACAGGATGTATATATAACAGTCTGTATGTCTCTCTATCAGACAGTCACTCTATGAGGTATTATTACACTGCAGTCTCCTCTCCGGGATCCGGGCTCCCTGTGTACTCTGCAGTTGCATATGTGGATGATAAGGAGATAGTAACTTATAACAGCGACACTCGTCAGTGTCTTCCCAAGACTGAATGGATGAAGAAACTGGGACCTGACTACTGGGAGAGGAACACACAAATAAAGCAAAACGTTGAGCCTGTTTTCAAGCACGGTGTACAGACCTTGATGAGACGATTCAACCAGACTGGAGGTGAGACAATTCTTACATTTCTATTTCTTTATTACACCAAATACAAACCCTGCAGACAGGATACAGGGGAGGAAAGGCCGACAAACACAGGAGAGATGAGACATTCTATGAGACAGATTTATAGAAGATCACAGCTTGATTAATAAATATCTCCATCATCTGATCAGAATTATCACCTCACCTATAAATATAAACAACTACTTCTTATAGGAACCCTGTACTGAGAGATATTGAGGCTGCCATAGCTGACCTTCTCTACTCCAGACTTATTTATTTATTTCAGGTACTTACATAGCGCCATCAATTTACGCAGCGCTTTACATATATATTGTACATTCACATAAGTCCCTAACCCTCAAGGGGTGTACAATCTAAGGTCCCTAAGTCACTGTGACATAAAATGTACAGATTTGAGTAGATAAAATGTGACCTGTAGCAATATGTAATCCTAATTGTAGTTTCAGTCCTTGTCATTGGGGAAATGAGGTGTTCAGAGACAGATGGTCATCAATTAGCATCTGAAAAGGCTAGCTTCCTCTGGAAGTGACACCTGGGTGCTAATAAGATTTTGTCACCTTCTGGGGAAACCAGAGAGGAAACGGCTGGAGACAAGTTGTCTCCCTGACATTGGGAGCGCTAAAAGAATATACATCAAAGGAGGATGTTTCATCTTTCATAAAAGCTAAAATATTAGTTGCAGAGAGATGAAAATACTTCCTTCTGATTGGACACTCTGTGGGTCACATCGTCATATAAAAACTGTATTTGTGGATTAGGTAGAATGCCAGGAAAGTGCAGGAAATGATTAGGTGGCGCTGGATTGCGACAGCCGAACAGTGATTGCTACTGTCGCGATCAGACTGATGCACTGGTGTCAGAAATCCAATCCCCGACTTGGTGATTCAAGCCGGTCTTGGTCCGATTGACCTTGGGCAGTTCGGCACCCAGAACATCCTGTGGGCAAGTACAGGAACACCCCCCAGGGTCAATTGGCCGAGGACTAATGTCCCGCCTACGTCCATATCCCCATAAATTGAGTACCCAGACATTGGGACATTGTAATTCGTATGGAGCTGGTTCGATCGACTAACGGATTGCTGATTCTCCCGGACTTGCTCCAGTTGCAGGATAAATCTTGATAAAAGTTTTATTTCTGTTTTTTATTCCCTTTTATTTTATAGTGAATAGTCATTTGTGTGTCTTCTTGTAATTTTTGTATTTTCTTTAACTTTTTATATTTTATACATATTTTATGCACTGCCCACTTTTGGGATATTAAATCTTAAAATTAATACGTGACTTCTGTGTATTTAAGCAAGTGCTCATATCTCTGGAGAGATTCGATTGTATTGTATTTTAGTGCCTTTAAACGCTCGGTCAAGCTCATTGCCAATCTGTATTCAATTGCACTGCGTGTGGGCAGATTGCTTGTAGATTGTAAAGGTAACAGATCTGCCAGACGTAAATCTGTGTGTGTGGGTTGTCCCAGCAGACCGTTCTGCAGTTAAAGCTGTTGGGTGGTGGCAGGCTACCTTTTGTGGTGTGTCTGGTGTGGGGGTGTGTTGACAGTGGAAGAGTGATTAACACCGGGGTTCAAGCTTTAGGATAGCTGGAGGGATCCTAGAAGGGTGTGTAATTGCTAAGCTGCTCCTCAACTCTAATCAGTGCACCAGATTGTATATAAGATTTGTATCTACTAGTGTGTGTGGTCAGCCAGCTGGATTGGAGTGGAGGCTCCCTCCGGTGGTGGCCAAGAGGTAGTGCAGGCTGTGAAAGTATATCACGGCTGATCTTATATACGGTTTTTATATATTCAAAGTTAAGTCCCCTTTATTCCCTCTTACCCCAAGTCACGGCCACACGTGCGTGCCTCCGTTAGCTAGTTGCTGTGGGCGTGGCGTGTGGGTGACCCGTGACAGATTGGCGGCAACGTGCAGGATCTGCTTAGTACATTAGTGCATGGTTTATTCATTTAACCCGTGTACTAAATGTTGGAAGCTTGGTAGAAGTGACTTATCTCTTATCTCTTACAATATTTGTTACCAGTAAAGCCGGCCATACATGGATGGAAATTCAGCTGATTCAGCAGGGAGTGGACGAATCTGGATCCATGTATTGGCAGGCTGGTTGTACTGAAGTTGATCTACCGATTGAGTTCTGTGGAAACAACCTGCCAGATTTCTTCTGCTCGATCAGTGCTGCTGGCTAAAGCCTGCAATGCTGATCAGTGTATTCTGACTACAGGGAAGTCTCCCCGCTGTCAGAGTAAAATAGCTCAGCAGGGAGGATTCCCCATCCACCTCAAATGGTAAAGATGGGGGAATCGAGTCATATTTCTTAATTCAATCAGCTGGTTAAAGGAAAAAAAAAACATATCTGGGCTGGTTAAGGCGTCATGCATGGTGGGCATTTATCTCCAGTCATGAGGCTCTGGCATTTTGCTGCAGGTGGAGGGCAGAGGTGCCCTGTCCAGCCCCACAGCCAGCAGCCTGTCAGATGCTTTGAGAGTGTGACAGCGGCTTTGTCTGGATGGGGCACCGAGTGGTAGTTACCTTTATTGCAGTATGTGGCCGGGGATGAATGCCCAGAACACAGACTGCTTGTATTGTAGATGTGTCCCGGGGGGGCTCTGCCCTAATTGTACATATTACTAGGTGAAGTGCTCAGCCCCATCCAGACAAAGCAGCTGAAAGCCTCTCATTGGCTTTAACTGCTTCCCGACCGCCCTATAGCAGAAGTACTACATATATGTGATTTTGTGTTCCTGGGTAGGTGAAGGCACGTGCCGCCCTGCCCGCGCTGCCATAGGTGGCTAGAGGTGTCGATCACCAGATCCTGGCCGGATATTCCCCATCGGCACCCGGCGATCATCGCACACACTGACAGGGGAGAGGTCTGTATGGAAACAAAACAGATCTCTTACCTGTCAGCTCCAGCACACTGCTTCGTTTTGCTCTGCATAGCAGAGCAATACAAAGCAGCATTCTTACACAGTAAAACACACACAGTTAACCCTTTGATCACCCTAGATGTTAACCCCTTCCTGCCCAGTGCCATTAGGACAGTGTCAGTGCTTTTTATTAGCACTGATCACTCTATTAGTGTCAGTGGGGATGTCAATGACACCAAGTGAATTCCTACCCAGTGTCAGATGGCCCGCCGCAGTCCTGCTATAAGTCACTGATCGCTGCCATTACTAGTATAAAAAGATTTTTTTTTGTTAAATTCTATTATATATAGCACCATTTGTAGATGCTATAACTTTCACGTAAACCAATAAATTTACACATGTTGGGATTTATTTTAGCAAAGACATGTCACAGAATATATTTTGGCTTAAATTTATGACTAAATTTGATTTTTGTACATTTTTTACTGGACATGTTTTTATAGCAAAAAGTCTAAAATATTGTTTGTTTTTTTTAAAAATTGTCAGTCTTTTTTTGTTTATAGCGCAATAAAAAAAACAAAAGCAGACTTAACTACTTGCCATCCTGAGGATTTACCCCACTCAATGTAAGGTTATGCACTTGGGGGGCTAAGAATATGCATGCATCATACATACTAGGGGGGGTACAACTGGGGGAATCAATGGTGGAGAAGGATCTGGGGGTTCTGGTAGATCACAAGCTTAATAATGGCAGCAATGCCAAGCTGCGGCTTATAAAGCGAGCAAAATCCTCTCTTGTATTATAAGAGGTATAGACTCCAGAGAGAGAGATATCATTTCCCCGATACAAATCATTAGTAAGACCTCATCTGGAATATGCAGTTCAGTTTTGGGCACCAATTCACAAAAAGAACATTGGGGAACTGGAGAAAGTACAGAGAAGGGCAACCAAACTGATAAGAGGCATGGAGGAGCTCAGCTATGAGGAAAGATTAGAGGAACTGAATTTATTCTCTCTTGAGAAGAGGAGATTAAAGGGGGGGATATGATCTCCATGTATAATACATAAGGGGGGATATGAGCTCCATGTATAATACATAAGGGGGGATATGATCTCCATGTATAATACATAAGGGGGGATATGATCACCATGTATAATACATAAGGGGGGATATGATCACCATGTATAATACATAAGGGGGATATGATCTCCATGTATAATACATAAGGGGGGATAGGATCTCCATGTATAATACATAAGGGGGGATATGATCACCATGTATAATAATACATAAGGAGGATATGATCTCCATGTATAATACATAAGGGGGGATATGATCACCATGTATAATACATAAGGGGGGATATGATCTCCATGTATAATACATAAGGGGGGATATGATCTCCATGTATAATACATAGGGGGGGGTATGATCTCCATGTATAAGACATAAAGGGGGATATGATCTCCATGTATAATACATAAGGAGGATATGATCTCCATGTATAATACATAAGGGGGGATATGATCACCATGTATAATACATAAGGGGGGATATGATCTCCATGTATAATACATAAGGGGGGATATGATCTCCATGTATAATACATAAGGGGGGGGGGGTGGGTATGATCTCCATGTATAAATACATCAGTGGTTCATATAGTGAACTCGGTGTAGAGCTATTCACCCTGAGGTCATCACAGAGGACAAGGGGGCACTCTTTACTTCTGGAGGAAAAGAGGTTTAATCAACAAACACAGAAAGGTTTCTTCACAGTAACAGCTGTGAAAATGTGGAATAGACTCCCTCAAGAGTTGGTTCTGGCCAGCTCAGTGGATTGCTTTAAAAAAGTCCTGGATTCTTTCTTAGATACACAGAATATAACTGGATACTAACATTTATAGGTAAAGTTGATCCAGGGAATATCCAATTGCCTCTGGGGGGATCAGGAAGGAATTTTTTTTCCAGCAGGAGCAAATTGGATCATGCTTTGCTGGGTTTTTTTGCCTTCTTCTGGATCAACTGTGGGTATAGGATTATAACTTTTTTTTTTTTTTTTTGTATGGTTGAACTGGATGGACTTATGTCTTTTTTCAGTCAGACTAACTATGTAATGACCTGGCCTCTTTTTGCTATTCGGTGATGCACTATTTCAACTGATAATTACGCGGTCATGCAATGCTCTACCCAAACAAAATTTACATTCTTTTTTTCACATAAATAGAGCTTTCTTTCGGTGGTATTTGATCACCTGTGCACTTTTTATTTTTCATGCTATAAACAAAAAAGACCAACATTTTTAAGAAAAATAATATTTTTTACTTCTGCTATAACAAATCTATAGTAAACTCAAAGTTAGTCATGAATTTAGGCCAAAATGTATTCTGCTACATGTTTTTGGTAAAAAAAAAAAAGCCCAATAAGTGTATATTGATTGCTTTGTGTGAAACTCATAGCATCTACAATCTATGGTATAGATAATGGAATTTACACCGCTTTTACTTTCTGACTACGTATCACATTTCTTGAGGTGCTAAAATACCAGGACATTACAAACACCCCCAAATAACCCCTTTTCGGAAAATAGACACCCTAAGCTATCTGCTGAGAGGCATGTTGAGTCCATGGAAGATTTTTTTTTTTTTTCCACAAGTTTTTGGAAAATGACAAAAACATTTTTTTTTTACACAATGTTGTCATTTAAAAACATGTTTTTCTTTTGTTTTATATTTGAAAACCTTGTGAGAAAAAAATGAGACCTGCAAAATCTACTTTCCTGCAAAAAGGGGTCATTTGGGGATTTGGTGCTATGCTGGCATTTCAGGGCCTCCGAAACTGTGATAGGTAGTGAGGAAGTGTAAATGAGGAAATAAAGCCCTTTTAAAAGCCTGAAGGTGCTTATTGGATTTTGGGGTCCTGTACTTGGCTAGACTGCCAAAAAAGTCTCTCACGATGTGGTAGACCCCCAATACTCTGGAGAAATATCAGAATATATTTTGGGGAGTAATTCCACATATACCCATGTCATGTATTAGCAATATATCGTTTAAGTGACAATTTTGTGTAAATAAAAAGTTTTTGTGTTTTTTTTTTTTTTTTTTGTCATTTGTGGTAAAAAAAAATTCTTCTATTGACTCAACATGCCTCTCAGCAAATAGTTTGATGTTTTATTACTTTCCAAAAAGGTGTCATTTTTGGTAGTGGGGGTGTTTTATATGCCAGCATTAGAAGTTTATGCCCACACATCACTTACTCTTCTAACCACCTGAAGACCAAGCCTTTTCTGACACTTTTTGTTCACAAAAAAAAATCTGTATTTTTTGCTAGGAAATTACTTTGAACCCCCAAACAAATATTTTTTAAATCAGACACCCTAGTGGATAAAATGGTGGGTGCTGCAACTTTTAATGTCACATAGTACTCGAGCAGCAATCTTTGAAATGCAAATGTTTTGCAAAAAAATACACTTTTTTTACTTTGAATGCACAAAAACACAATATATTGGCCAATTATTTGGTAAGGTATAAAAAAATGATGGTATGCCAAACATGACATGCTTTAAAACTGCGCATGCCCTGATCAAACTGCATACATTTTTAATATCCATAGGCAACACTTTAAAAGCCTTTACAAGCTACCATTTTAGATTTACAGAGAAGTACTAGAATTTACTGCCCCTTTGATCTGATGTTCGTGGCAATACCTCACATGCATGGTGCAGCCACTGTTTACATACTGGCACAGGGTCAATTTGATTTTTTTCATTATTTTTAACACTGTCCCTTTAATTTTTTTTTTCTTTTGATCACTTTTAATGCTATCAACAGGGAATGCAAATATCCCTTATAATTTCAATAGGCATTGTCATATATTCTTTTTTGAGAAAATCTGGGTCTTATCAGACTCTAGATCTCTCCTCTGCCCTTACATTATCTAATCTCACCAAGATCGGTGTGATCAGATACTTTCCCAATTTACAAATGGCACTGTTAATAGCCTGCGAAACTTAACTGATTAAATGCTTGTAGCTTCTGATTTCTTTAGACTATAGAGATGATTGGTGCCATTCCGGTCTCCAATCTGCTCTATTGTCAGCTGGCATAAACACCGGCTGCATTCTCAGTTCCCCCAATGGCATGGGACTGCACGAGAAGGTTGTGGAAGGCAGTGGAGGGGGGGGGGGCATTGTCTCCTGCTGCTTGTAAAAGCAATCCTGCAGCTAATTAACCACTAGGATGCTTTTGCATGAAAGTCCGATCGCCGGCTGAAAAAAAAAAACAATACCAGGATGATGTCTGCAGCTGTAGGCATACATCCTTGTATAACCATTCAAAGTCCAGTGATGTACCAAGTACGTTGCTGGTCTTGTTGGGTATATATGCTATGTTTTTGTTTTTTGTTTTTTTTTTATGCAGGCTGTGGGCTGACTGAAAAAAAGAGAAGGAAATCTCTGCCAGAAAAAGTGTGTGGTATGCGCCCACCATTAGAATATATTATCCTGCATCCTCCCACTTCTAATGGTGAGCACACATTAGGTCGCATGGTGCCATACATGCGCCATCTCCAAGATTTTTGCTAGGAAATTACTTTGAACCCCCAAACATTATATATTTTTTTAAAGCAGACATCCTAGTGAATAAAATGGTGGGTGCTGGGCAGTTTTTTATGTCACCATAGTACTCGTGCAGCGATTATTTTTTTTTTCAAAACACGAATTTTTTTTTTTTAAAATACACTTTTTTTTTACTTTTAATGCACTAAAAAACACAATATAATTGGCTAATTATTGGTAAAATATAAAAGTTGATGGTATGCCGAGTAAATAGATACTAAAAACATGACATGCTTTAAAACTTGCGCATTCCCTGTGCAATGGCGACAAACTGGGCATTACAGTTTTAATAATCCAATAGGCAACGCTTTTTTAAAAGCCTTACAAGCTACCATTTTAGATTTATATAGGAGGTCTAGTGCTAGAATTACTGCCCTTGAGATCTGACGTTCGTGGCAATACCTCACATGTATAAGCGCAACCACCATTAGAATATACCGCCCTGCATCGCACCCGCTTCTAATGGTGGGCAAACACATTTTGGTCGCACGGTGCCACATGCGCCAGTTCCAAGAATGTACAAATGTCTAAATAGTGGCACGCTTGAATGAAAATTGTCCACGTATAAGTGGTACCCCATATGGAAAAAGGATGACACCAAGTCCCAAACTATCTTGCCACTGCTCCCCATGTAGTCTGGGCATCTGGGGGGCTCATGTGACTAATCTTTTCCCTCGTAAATCCGAAACTTATATGTTATAGCCTGTTGTCCTACTCACAGGTCTTCTACATTCTTGACCCATATCTGGCACGCTTGCTGGGGAGAAATTGTTTGAATGCAAGGCGGCCAGAGAAAAATTTATGAGGGACTCATAAACGCAGATGTTTTGCTGGTGAGTATAGACATCTGCAAATTTTTGGTTAAGGTGATTTGCGAGATGCTGAATTTTGTGGAGACCGGTCAAATTCAGGGTCACCCCGAGGATGACAGAGTGTGTTGTTGTTGAAGTGCATAAAACTATTATACATCTCATATCTATTCCTGGCCATGGCAGTGGAGAACACGGGCATATGATGAATGGGTCTGTGGACCAATACAACCGCAATTCATTTCTTTTAGTAATTGCCCATGTTGAGGGTTTTTTAAGCCCAATAAAACGTATATTCGGAAACCGTAATGGGTTTCCATGTGAATGGTCTTGGTAAGGTTTGAATTTGGGTTGGCAGCGATAAATTGTGTGCTGTGTGTATTGACAGAATGGAGGCTTCCAGTTCCAGAAATGACACAGACAGGTCCTCCCAGCAGATGTATACCGGCCTCATTCACACAGGGCGGGTGTGTTGCTCAGCAGTGCAGTGGACATGCATGTTTACCACATCCAGTGTACACATGGTATATATTTCTGCAATGTTCCACACATCACGCCAAGCAATGCGGCTGTTAATGGGGCGCCCAGAATACAATTGTTATGTACAGGATGTGTCCAGCAGTGAGCTGTGTACTCCAATGCAGAAGGCAGCTCTCCCGGACTATGATGGAAGACCCTCCATGTGGGATATCCCATTTCCTAGTGACCTTGGACTAACATATCATCTCTGTATATGAGGATTCCCCCTAAAATACCCACCTGGAAGGAACATCCATGGGAAGTCTATCATCTTCCTCCTGGCTCCTTCCTGTCCCTGAGGCTCCCCGGGGCTCTCACATTGGATCCCGGTCCCATTCAGAGGTCATGATAGTCCTGTACAGGGAGAAGGTTTGTGGGATTTGGGATTCTCAGCTTTCCTTTATATGTGTGATGCAGAGCTGAGTGTGGTGGGGAGGGGCGGCCGTCCCGGTGTCGGTATACATTGTAGTAGAAGGTCCTCTGTATAGAGATGTCGTTCTCTTTCTGGGATTCCCGGTGTAGATACCTACCCTTACGCGCTACACCGGCTCACATCTCCCTCTTTTCTCTGCAGGGAATACCATATCCTCCAGGTGAAGTCCGCTTGTGAGCTGTGAGCTGAGAGATGACGGCACCACTGCGGGGTATAATCAGCACGGATATGATGGGAGAGAATTCTCCTCTCTGGACACACAGAGATGGATCTGGATCCCGACCATGAATGAGGCTCAGATCACCACACAGAGATGGAACAGTCCGGAGGTCAGGGATGGGGAGAGATGGAAGAAGTATCTGGAGAATATCTGTATAGAGTTCCTGAAGAAAACATCAAACAATGGGAGAGAAGATCTGGAGAGGAGAGGTGACCGCACTACATACATCATATATGTTCTATCTACACGCCGTATATACACACCGCACTACATACATCATATATCTTACATCTACACACTGCGTATATACATCACCGCAATATACATCACGTATGTTACATCTACACGCCGTATATATACACAGACACTACATACATCATATATGTTACATCTACACGCTGTATATACACACCGCACTACATGCATCATATATCTTACATCTTACACACTCGTATATACACACCGCACTGCATACATCATATATGTTACATCTACACACCGTATATACACACCGCACTACATATATCCTATATCTTACATCTACACGCCGTATTATGCACACCACACTACATACATTCATATATGTTCTATCTAGACACCGTATATACACACCGCACTACATACATCATATATGTTACATCTACACGCCGTATATACACACACCGCACTATATACATCATATATATTACATCTACATGCCGTATATACACACTGCACTACATAACACACTCTATATACTCCTCTCTGCATACAGTACAAATACTACACTGTGCAGACACAGCTCTATGTACACACAGCTGTATGTAGTCACACCACATGGTATACACGCCATGCACAGAGATATACTGTATAAGGCGTGGCTCACATTTATGCGGTTTTAATGCGTTTTGCAGAAACACACTACAGTGGATATAACATGATTTCCTATGAGGGACACATTCACATCCATGTGTTTGACACATCTGCGGCATTGTTGGGAAGGGTCAGGGACACGTGTGTTTTTGATGAGTTTTCAATGCACTTCAGGTCTGTTTCACACTAACTCAGTTTGCTCTTTGCCCATTTTGAAGTGTGTAACACTGCGCTGGGGTATTTCCCCCGACTGCGCTGGGGACTCTCGCTTCCCTCTCCGAACACCATTTCATGGACCCCCACTGCTGATCATACAGGAAATAGACAGCACCAGACTCTCTTAAGACAGGAAGTCAAACTGTTTTATTTTAACACAAACACAAGATATATACACAGGGCGGGAAATACAACCAGTAACAGGAAACACATCAGCAGGCCATCACATCAGGGGAAAGGGCTGCAGGAAACACCCCCCACCAAACCAAGACACACAATAGTACAATGGACAACACATGTGCAGTGAACAATGGACAACTCCCCCACACCATACACAAACATTACATCCCATAATAGTTTGCTAGAACAATGGGATGTAGCTGCATGGCAGAGAACAATGAACAATCCCCACAGATGAGAAACACAACGACTCAGCAGCACTGAAATTCCAATAACAATCAAATATCAAATCCAAAAGCTGATATGCTGAGAAAATAGTCTGCAACCAGTTATGACCACAATTAAAACAGTTTTATTGAGCATATATCCCACTTTTATGGAAAGATAACTATAGTGGACAGTAGTGCATATCATATATATATACAAGAGTGACTAATTAATTGCCAAAGTGCAAATCTATTGTAATAAATTATTGATATAGGTGAGTGATCCACTGTGCGTCTTCATGGTGATCAATATTCCCAATTACACTCACCAGATGCTTAATTCAAATATGCATGTAGAAAATATAATCTCCATGGTTCAGTGGAATCTCTTATGGACATATCTATCATCTCGTGGACTTCCTCTGGGCACTCTATCCTTTAATGGGATTCCCTCTGGATTCATCCGATTGGATACTGCACCTCTGGACTCTCTTCCTGAGGACTCATGAAAGGAGTTAAAGATGGCGCCGGCCCATGTGGGACACGGGCTCGGCGTGAGTCGGGACTCCGCAGCTCTTTTTTAGCTTTGTGTAAATGCAACGTTTTCTAGGGGGTGTGTGCAGGC